TTGTCATTGTTTTAACCAAGTGAATGGTCTGAACGATAGATATTTTTATTATGAAGTTTAGAAAAAAATTACATATTTTTAGAACTTCGGGTTCAAAAGTTATTTCACTTTGAAAATGTGCAGAAGGTACGTAAAGGCGGTATTACACTTGCCATTGCGTATTCGCTTCATTTGTACAAATATTTGTGAACTACGTACAAATGGCGTCCAAATAGTATCTATAAATGTAAAAGCGTGCAAATATACGTATATAGCAAATGAAGACGAATAAACCCTCCACACATGGTCTGTTTTGGCCGTACACAACAAATACGCAATGTCAAGTATAATGCCACCTTTACGCAAAAGTACATAATATGACAAATGACAGATGACAGTTAATTGAAAAATGTCAATGTTGACTTATTTTTTATTTGGTTGTTTTGTTTACAAACTAAACTCTAAACACTGCTCGCTACTCGTGACTGTTACACTTTGTATTATGAGTAAATTAATTAACTGTTAATTCAGCAAGTATGCTGTAACTATAGAGTTTTACAGAGTATGCTTTACAATCTCTTTCATTTACTAGGTGCCTACGAAAATGCAAATTAATATTGTGAGCGACTGTCATTGGGTAGAAGGCCTACATTTAGCAGTGGACGTCTTTTGGCGGATATGATAAAACTAATGTCTCACTTCACCTTGAATCTTGCGGGCAGATGCAAGATTTAATGTGTAAAATCAAGATTCGAGGCAGAGGCCTGATATACAAATAGTCTTTAAGTTAATTCGATTTAAACTTAAGCGTAGCTCTTTGAGAAAGTATTTCTTCTGAAAACTGGTTGCTTAGCAAGCGTTTTAAGGTTTAATTTCTAATAAGTAAGTCAAATAAGTAAAATCATCATCAGTTTCATCATTAAGTCTATAAGTGGCCCATGCCGACCGAAGGTCTCTTCTCACTGGATTAGGTTTAAGCATTAACTCGTTGAGTACCGTAATTATAGACACAATTAAAGAACAATAGGTTGTGGTCATCGGTGACCGCTCTGTGTTTGACAGTTTAATCA